TGAAGAATCCCATACTTCATTGTTAGGAATTCTACGACAGTGAAAATTTTCTTTTGGTGACAAACGGTGTTAACAGCCCTAATTTGTGCAGCTACATATTGATATTGGTCGCAATTTCGTCTTAATTATTGGCCTTACTGTTGCTAAAGCAATATTATTGCCTTATCAATATCAAAATGGCAAATAAAAATATGTCCATTGCTAGGTTTCCTTATCAGCATAATTCAATAATAATGACTGAAACATGTTTTGACATATGTACAAACATCGAGGTTTAACTACGTTTACAGGGTGATGTATGATTTTACTGAATCAATACGAAGATTACAAAATTGACGAAAATGTTGTCATTTGTATCAAAACGACAATGTAGAATTGGGCGATTAAGAGAAATTCGGTAAATTAATCACTAAATGTTATCAATTTGTTGTACAATATTCCTCTACTGTACACTGTTTAATTATTCAATTAGTATTTAATGGAAATAAAAAAGTCTCAATACAAACGTGAACTGCATACTCACTTACAACAAAAATTATGATTTTTTTTCAATCTATAAAAAATTACTATGAAATACAAATTGCTTAAACGAATTTTAATTCATTTGAACTTAAAGCCTTATTAAGTTGATGGCAAAATATTGATATACTCGTATACACAAATCAATGGGAGACCTTTAAATTAGACTTTCAAAGTTATACTCATCCTGTATAAGGAGAATACATACGAAATGTATACGAAAATATTAATCTGTCGCTATATTTAATTCGCCATTGTTATTGTACTTGAAATTAATAGTTTATATTTTGTTAATACTCGAATGAAAATTGATCAGTCGTGTTAAGTCGAAAGAGCCTTTAAGTATTAATTTTACGGAAATACAACGGATTTAAAAAGCATATTTCGTGACACTGCAGTGAACGTTAAACACTTTGAAAACAAAAATGCCTTCAGGAGAGAAAAATGGCGAAACACTTGTTAAAACCACAGCGACTGTACCAAAATCGATTGGCAACGACAGTGTACAAGTAAATGTGAAAGTGGATAACAGTAATAAAAATATAAAAGCTAAATATGTAATTAAAAGTAGCGGTACAGTGCTATTACCTAATCACGATATACCGGTGCCAACGAAATTCAATTCTACGGAAAATGTGCTCGATCCCTTCTGTGATCCTGAGAAGCCACAGAAAATATCCTTTCACGATGTAACATCGGCGGCTTTTCTCATTAAGGATGGCGTTGCCAAAACACCATGTCCGGTGAGTAATAATTAATTTGAAGGGCATTATGTACAAATTCATACATGTATACATATATGCGTAACGGTAGATTGTGTTTGGGTACACATATTTAGAATTATGTTATTATAGCACACAATTAAATATAAATAATATATAAAGTATAATTAATAAAGTATGGCGATGTTCAATGTGAATTAAAATACTATTTTACTGATAAATATTGAAAACACTAGATTTTTCTTAATCTTATTGCTTGCTCTTATATGTAAAACTCTTTAAGTTTTAATGCGACTTAAAACAAAGTGACTGGGACGATAGTAAGGCAAGCTAACTGTGTGACAATCTAAGATTTTTGAACGTGTTGAAATAGGAAGATAGTAGTTACTTTAAATATTTTGTAATTTATTGAAATTTTTTATAATATCATTAATAAACTAAGTTAAAAAAGTAAATAAAATTTTTTTTCTAAGATTAAACAAATATTATTGTCATACCGTAGCTTTCTGACAAGCAATTGTCCAAATTATTAAATAATAGATTTATATTTACCCATATAATGAGTATGAATCCAGAATACAAATAAACAATACATCTAGTGAAATAACTATCTTGGCATACATCTATGTGCATGTACGACCCTATGCCTGGAATGTTATTGTTTGGGTTATGCTTAAATTATGAGATAATGATAAGATCCAAGGCATGTAAACAAAATAATATGGACGAGCTGAGTATTTTATATCAAGAAAAAAAAAAATGGAAACTCGTGCGAAACTCTACTTTGTAGTCATGTAATGGTTAACAAGAAGTTAGGTTAATCACTACTCTTAAAACGGTAAATTCCGTGGATTACAGATTTATCATTCCGATGTATATCAATTTTCCATAAGTTCACACAAAATATTCTCGCGTTTTGAGTATATTAATATCGTGTGTTTACTGGAATAAAGCAATAACTCCAAATCTGTAACAGTTAAGAAAAGACACACAGAATGGTTAACAAATGAATTTTAAACAGCAAACCCATCCGATAAAAATTTATGTTCGTGGAAAGTTTGATCTCCATATATATGTGTTTGCCAGCTGTTTGTTTATGACGCGAAACAGAATTGTTGAAAGTGTAACAGAAGTGTTTTGGGGAATATATTTTATCAAGAACAAGAACACAAGTACTGATGTAGCATATATGTATATTCATGAAAATCGTTAAATCCTCAAAAACTTGCCACATGCGAGTCGTCCTACCACCTCAGTGCTTTAAAATCGTCGTGTTCGCATTAGAAAGATAGCAGAGGATGTCAACATCTCTTATGGATCAACTCGACACATTTTGGTTAAGATATGGGTATGAAGCGTGTCTCTTGCAAAAACGACGTCGAGTAGAGGTGCAAAGCAAAAAAACCAAAATTCGAGGAAGAGAATAAAGGCCATTCAAACTGGGGCTTATAACAGGGGTGAAAATAAAATCAGTCCGTTCTAATATTTTGAAACTGTAAGTTATGGAAATATAACTGTTTAGGTGGGCTTAACTACATATATATATATTTGTTTTTCTTAACTTTTTGTGTTCTACCCTATTTGCAAGGAAGATATACAAGAGATATACTTGTATATTTTTGTTATACGAGTATGTATATTTTTATACGCTGAATGTATATACTTTTTTAAACATACATATATTTTCCATATTTGATAAACAATATGAATACATACCTATATGTATATATACCCTAATATATATAAACTTATTTTGCTTTTAATTTCAGCGCTCCACCTCATCAGACTCTTATGGCATGGATTTGTATTTAAAAAAGGACTTTCTGCAAGTAACTGGCAGGTAAAATCTAATTAAATTCATTTGTAGTAACTAATTAAAAATTGTCAAAATAAAACATTAACACATAAATAATTAATGTATGATAAGTTTAAAAATCTATAAAGAATTAAGCGTGCATTTAAAAAAAAATGTTGCTTATCTTTATAATGTGTATTCCAAATTAATTAACGCTATCAATATTTGTTCATTGCCGGCATAGTACAGTCTTCCACTAATTATTTACATTTATGATTGGCAAGTCCAAAGTACAATTTTGTACTTGGCTCGGTCTTGTAAAGAAATAAATATTCATATATGTTCTTATTATTTGACGCATATTTATTTATTTAGTTGTTTCACTTTTACTGCAATCAATATCGGTTCGGATTTTTTAATTATAAAACCAAAATTTAGTGAAATAAATTCAGTTCACCTAATGAAATTTTAGAAATTTTCAAACAGATTATGTAAATATATCATCTTGTAGTTATTCCGCAAATGTATCGTTCTGCAAGTTTAAGAAACCTCCGAATATTTAAATTATGATTACATAGTTTAACATTACTTGCCGTAGAATTGTCAACACTCTGAGTAGTCACTATTTCAAAGAATTTATTCGTGACTCCAGTCGCGGTCTTTAATTGACATTGTAAATCAGATTGCAGTGAAGGCTTCTTTAATTATCTTTTAACGGTTGGACGTGGTCTCCAAATCCATAGCTTCTTTAGCACTGTCTTTTATATAATCCAGTGATTGTAATACGATGAAGTCTAAACCCAGTCTACACGTTAAAGATTTATTTGTTTGAAATTTAATGAGTCGAGAATAAAAGTAACACACGGAAGTGGCACAGCGTGAACGAGAATCATATCAGACAGAACTAATAAATAAAGGAAGTCTTAATTGATTTTTTTTTTAATTCGGAGATTTTCGAGAAATATATCAATTACCGCTAACATATTTTTGGAATCTTTTCCAGGGGTTTAGGTATTTTGTCGTGGCTTATTTTATAATATTCAAAAGACAATCAACCAAAAGTATTTTAAGGACAAATATTTATATATATATTGTGTACATAAAATATTTTATTTGTGAAAACCTTAACGCTGTGATATATATTATATTTAATTGCTTTCAATCTCTTTCAGTTTCAAAGAACGTGGTGCTCGGTATGCTCTTCTCTGCCTTTCCGAACAACAAAAGAAGGCTGGTGTCATTTCCGCCTCGCTGGGAAATCATGCGCAGGTTGGTTCCGCTTAATTATATCCAAAACGTTATAATATAATTAGAAAAATACCGTTAAAAATCCCAATTCCTGCTTGCAGGCCCTTAGTTATCATGGCTGGAAACTAAACATACCCGTCACAGTTGTAATGCCCAAAGCTGCGCCCATAATGAAGATACAGAAATGTCGCAATTATAAGGCGAACGTAATTGTGAATGGCAAAGATATGGGCGAAGCCAAGGTCATAGCCATGAAAATGGCACAAGATAAGGAACTGCTCTACATCAATGGTTACGATCATCCACAAATTATGGCTGGTCAGGGCACAATCGGTTTAGAGATATTGGATCAGGTGCCCAATCCAGATGCTGTGATTATACCTGTTGGTGGTGGTGGACTTATTGCCGGCATTGCAACAGCGATTAAGGCCTTATCGCCGAACACCACAGTTATTGTAAGTAGTGAGGATGTATTCGGAAAGAATAGATATATTTATAAATTTAATTTTTTAATGCGCCAGGGCGTTGAGTCTGAGAAGTGTGCCAGCTTTTCGCAAGCCATGGAAAATAACGGGCCCATACACACAGCAATCAACAATACGCTTGCTGATGGCTTGGCAGTGCCCAAAGTTGGTTATAACGCTTATGTAACTGCACTTCCGCTCATCGATAAGATGGTGGTGGTGAAGGAGGAATGGATTGCATTGGCCATCTTACGTTTGGTGGAGGAGGAGAAATGTGTAGTGGAAGGCGCTGGCGCATCGGGCTTGGCAGCTATACTGGCTGGACAGTTAAATGAATTGAAGGGCAAAAAGTGAGTTAGTTATGAGTACATGTGGTTTGATGAAAGGAGTTAGGAGAATAATACACTGAAATTTCTGCAGAGTTGTAATTCTCCTGTGTGGTGGCAATATAGATACCACTGTATTCGGACGCTGTTTGGAGCGTGGTCTAGCCGCCGAAGGTCGTTTAGTGAAGTTTCAAGCTGAAGTTAGTGATCGGCCTGGTGGTATACATGAACTCTGCAAACTTCTTTCCGATTTAGGTGTCTCCATCAAGGATATAATGCACGAGCGCGCTTGGCTCAGAGATATATACACAGTGTCGGTGAGTTTTATTGAAAACCTTGTACTCTTATGCACGCCTACTTAGAACGTTTTACTAATCACTTTCTACTCGCTCAATAGGTTAAAGTTGTCTGTGAGACTCGTGACTGGTCTCATAGCATGGAATTGAAAAATGAATTGAAGAAGCATTACACAAATGTCGAGTTTAGTGAGGAGCCCATGGCCATACTTAACAACGTAGCTTCCTAATGAGTTTAATTTAAGTATACACTTATTTAAATAATTTGTTTACTATTTATAAATATGTAAAAAGGAGGGAAATACGAAAGTTCTTAAATTTAATTTTGGACCAAATATATTGATTGATTATTATTGTTAATATGTTATGTATAAAAATATCGTCAAAATAAGCTCTTTAAATATACATATTATAAAATATACATATATATATATATTTTTATTTAAAAAGGTGCATATAGAGCACATATGTAAGCAAAAAGAACTACGAGTAGGTAATTTTTAAAATTTCAGAACGATTCTTATTTGATTTAAAATAGTAATACAATAAATAGTACATAACAGTTATATAAATGTATTTAGTATATATTTCGTATTATATCAAATATCCGACTTAACCTTTCGTACGTATTATATATGCATTGGAAGATATAATATTTTAAGCCATACTTCGAAATATTAACTGGGGGTCATATTGAGGCGATCCACAAGAGATGTTGAGATCCTCTGCTATCTCTCTGATGCCAAGCACTTTTTCTTTAACCTTTTCGATGTTATCGTCATTAACAGAGGGGGATAGACGATTCGCACGAAGCATTGGGAACACAAAATTTCAAGCAAACTCGTTACTAAATATTTTTCCATAGTAAAAATCGCTAAACAAACTTTTCGCATAGTAAACAATCATCTTCCAAACACACACTAATTGGCATATGGAGATCAAACTTCACACAAACATAAAAAATTGTTGCATCAATCTAGCAAAAAAATTTGTATCGATTCGGTTTGCGCTTGCAGTTAATATAGTCAAAGCCGGGCAGTCCGGGTAATCAGATGGAATTATTCTTGGTTACAGTCAAAGGATAACTGTCAAAAGCAAGGACAATTGCAGTACTATTAATATTTTTTTAGGAACATTTGAGATAATCTAATGATCAACTATTATGACGGTAACATAGCTCAGGTCATAAATAATCTATTAAAATGGATAGAAGAGTTGCTACTAAGATTTTTTTCGATTGAGAGGACCAACAGACAAAGAAATTATCTTTCTCAAATATAACCCTAAAATGAAATGAAGTCGAGACATCTTATATCTTCAGCAAAGTATAAATGTAGCTTAAGACTACTTAAGCTGAAATAAGTCTACTAATTTTTAATAAAACTATGGTATTCTATTTTCTTATATTTAAAGATTGCGAATTCATTTTAGACAAAAAATTACATTTCGTATCCAAACATTTTTTAGAATAATTCGAACTGCTCCCATTAACCTATATTACGTTTGGACTCCTTTCCATTAAAAACAAAACGAATTAATAAAAATTAGAACTAAACTACTTTACGTTCACAATTTGAAAAGACATAAAAATTGAATTTCAAATAATTGAAATTTTTTTTCCCTGTCAAAATATTTAACATTTTAATTTTTTTATAGTTTTCCAATTTAATTACTAAGATTATTATTATAATGAGTAAATACGTGAAATAGTTTTCTTGTAATGGATGATGACATAATCGATGGCCATTGTGATCCAAAGAAACCGCATGAAGTATCCTTTGACGACATCACCACGGCTGATTTGCTTTTGATGGACGAAGTGACTAAGACGCCGTGTACGGTAATGTTTAGAGAATATTCTTACATTCACAGAAAGAACATTTTCATGTTATTAATTCTGTAGAGAGCAGTGAATTGTGTTGAATACAAAATGGAGATTTTTTTAAAGAAAGAATTCATGCAGCCGACGGGCAGGTGAGTAATAAGAGGCCGTGTGCCTATACAGCATCAGGTTTCATTTCGATAAAGAGAAAATATTAAAAGATAAACACGGTATTAGTTGCATAAAATTCTTCAGGCCCCATGTCTCAGGCTACATAAACTCAGTTTTCACTTTAACTCGACCTCCACGTACGTACACACTAAAATATTATTTTTCACAGTTTCAAAGTACGAGGTGCACGTTATGCCTTACTTCTACTCTCCGACAAACAGAAGCAAATTGGTGTTATAACAGCATCAACGGGAAATCACGCTTTGGTAATATACATGATTCTTTAAATGAACCCCTTAAATCTCAGGTTACACTATAATGTTTTCAGGCCTTAAGTTATCAAGGCGATCTGCTCAAAATTCCCATTACAGTTGTGGTGCCTACTTGTACCGCCACGGCTACAATCGAAAAATGTCGTTCTTATCATGCGCAAGTGATCACCGAGGGCCGCGACATTGCTGAGTCCAGAGTAGTTGCTTTGGTTTTATCAAAGGTCAGACAACTGAAATATATCGATAGCTATGATCACCCACATATTATTGCCGGTAACGGTACGATTGGCTTTGAAATACTAAGACAAGTACCGAAAATCGACGCTATCGTGGTACCTGTTGGGGGTGGTGGACTTATAGCCGGGATTGCTAGAACAGTTAAGACGGTATCACCTCAGACACAAGTTATTGTGAGTACTTGTATTGTTAACTCTCAGCGGTAACTAAATATTTGATTTGCAGGGTGTCGAGCTGGAGAAGTGCCCGAGTTTCCAGCGAGCAATGGAGAATGAGACGCCTACTTATACGCCACCAAATAAGTCGCTGGCTGAGAGTTTGCTGATGCCCAAGGTGGGTTGTAATGCATTCTCCATGGTTGCCATTTTGATCGATAAGTTGGTGTTGGTGCGCGATCCTTGGGTGGCGTTGGCAATGCTGCGACTAGTTGTGGAAGAGGAGTGCGTAGTCGAGGGTGCTGGTGCTGTGGGTTTGGCGGCAATACTGGCAGGTCTATTGAATGAATTGCATTTCAAAAGGTATAGAAGGGTTGTGGAGTAAATGAGAGAGTTTGAAACGCTTCTCTTTACACCTTAATATTTAATTTTTTTCACAGAGTTGTGGTTCTACTTACTAATACCTATGCGGCAGCTTATGGACGTGCTCTAGAATGTGGTTTGTCTGCTGAACGACGCTTACTGCCCGACGATACTGAGCACAGTGTCTGTAGCGTATTTACACTTATCGAGAAGCTCACCAAAATTGGCCTCCATGTGAAGGATATATTATCAGAATGTGTATGGTTGCCATTAGCCTATAATTTGGAACTTGGTAAGAGCTAAGAGAAATAAGAAAGTTGTGAGTACAGTACATACAAGTATATATCTAAGTTCATGTTTTTCTAAAACCACGGTTTGGTTCATTAGCTTCATTCTTAATCTTCACTTATTACCTAAAAATATACTTGACTTTCCAGAACAACGTTCCAAGGCTGCACTTCAACAATTCACATTAGCCGAGATGAGAAAATTATCAAACGATAACGAAGAAGGTGAAATGCAACCAACCACGTCAGCACGAAGCAAAAACGAAGGCGGAAGTCCAAAGGGAGCCGCAATAAGTCCAAAAAAAGCACCAGAAACGAAACACGAAGAAACAAGCGGAGCGACACAAAGAGAGGATGAAGAAGAAAAGCCAGTCAAAGAAGCTCAAGATAAGATCCTGAAACCTGTACAAGTTCCATTGAAATCCAGAAGATCTTCAATAACAAACCGAAAACTCACATTTAAGAAGCAAGTCAGATAAACTATTTGACGAGCTTAAGACTAGTATTTAAGAGACAACAATTATGTAACTCACAAAATTTCATTTCATCTCATTTATAAAACGTTTGCAAAAATTGTTGCACTAACAAGAAAAAATATTTCAATAAATCATGCTTCATCTTCATCCGCAGTATTTGTTTCAGCCGAAAGTTCATCATCATATTCATCCAAATTTTCCTCGTCCACCTTCTTTACTTTCTTGATTAAACTCAAACGATATGCTTCTTCCTCTTCTGGTGTTGGATCGGTTGTCTCGATGAAGTCCTCGTCCCCATGCGGATATTCCTCCAAAACAGGTGGTAGGTGTTTCAATACCATATTACGTGCAACATACTTATGACCCCAACCCACATATATTGACTCGCACATCTTTTCAAAGGTGAAGGTGTAAGCACCAGGCCAGACATTGGATTGGAGGATGAGTATGCGTTCATTTCGATTCGTGTACTTACTGGTGAAACGTGTGATCCATGGCATGGTGAATTGATCACTAAGATCATTTGAGCACGGGTGCAGTATGGGTGGCCCTTCTTCGGGTACGGAAAGTTCCTCACCCTCCATGTCTTCCTCTTCCTCCTCTTCTTCCTGATCCAAATCCTCTTCCTCTTCACCCATTTCTTCCATACGCAATAATTTTCGAAGGCGTTCTAATTCTTTTTCTCGCGTTTTATGTGCCTTCAGTTCATCATACCAAAGTACACGTCCCTGACGTAATAGATTTGGTCGTACATGTAACCATTTGTGTAAATTTGTGAGAGACTCTAGAGATTCTGGTACATATTTTTCATTCTTCAATAGCATTATATCATTATCTGCTGAGTTAATAAGGTAAAATATTTTGAATAGAAACTTGTCTTAACATACATAAATTCTTACCAATAATATCCTCCTCTCCTTCACCTAGAAGAGATGGTTCCTCTTCCTCCTCCTCTTCATCATCTTCGATACCATCGAAAAGCCGCCTCTCTTTCTTGGTCATTGTTCTATAGTAACCATAGGGTGCAATGTATGTACCAGCTGTTATTCGAGCAATGAGCGCACGTAGATAATGTTTCTCTTTCCCCGGAAAGCATGGGTACGATTGAATATCAGCTTCAAGATCACCCGTGAGGAATTTCTTTATCTCCCGTGACACTTTAATTTGAGAAGGCGTTACCATTGGCAGTTCCATCCAATCATCCGAGACCGAGTTCACAACAAAATACGAATATCGATTTGCGCCGGTACCGACAGTTTCTGGCGGTATATTGAAAACTTCTTTAGTTTCAGCCAGTGGTATGGGCGCAGCCTCTGGTATCATTTTCTCAATTTCTTCAATTGGATGATCTTCCCAGCCTAGTTTTCCGGGCGTTAATTCGGGTCCAACAAACGTAGGCAGCGGCTTAGTGCCCGACACTAAACGTGACAGCAGATCCTTATGTTTTTCTTGTAATTCTTCTGTCATTTGATCGACGCGCGATAGCACTTCTTCATGTGATAGTGAAGCCTCTACAATGTAATACGAAGCTTTGAGACCATTTATCATACCCCAAAAGCGACATTGCATTATAGAAGGATGTGTCTGTAGGCGATCCATGGCACAGGCGAGTTGGAAAATATCGTCGGAATTGATACCGAAACCGCATTGATTCCAGAAGAATTGCAAATGCTGCACGCGCTCATTGAACGTTATGAAGCGACTCAAGTCCAAGATATCGAGCTTGAAACCTTCTAAAATGGCAGATTTGGACTCTTCGACAGTGGCCATTTCGTCAGCGACTTGTAGCTCGTTCGGTTCGGGTATAGGTAGCTGAAATGAAGAAAATAAAAAAAAATTGCTCCGAAAATTGGTTTAGATGATAATGTGTACCACCCTACAATGTATTCTATATATCTGCCTCACTACATTCTAGTTAAACTACATGTTAAGCATTTCTTCACCTTCATAGACAAAAGAAATTTTTTCGCCACACGATAAATACGCGATTCTTCGAAAACTCCGTCCGGTGGAAAACGCTCTGGCAAATGCAATTTCTGTTCACGAACATTGCGACTGAATTCCTCAAAGAAATCTATTACGTTCGGTGGACGCTCGTCAATAACTCGCTTGATAATGTCGGATAAATGGTCAAATCTACAAAAATAAAAATAGGCGTCCATTCACTGTTTTGAAGTTAAAAAGCTATCACTTACAAATTATCACCACTAATAGTGCTGTATTGTTGCATAATGGCTTTGGCAACATTCAGCTCATATCCAATATTGGGCGGCTCTTTACGAGTGTGATCGCGTTTGTGACACTCGGAGCCGAAATATTGACTCAGCATTGTGTTGGTGGACGAAGAAGATGAGGTCGAGATCATGTGCGCACATGGATCGTCTGATTCTTCTGATTTTTCTGGCTTTTCAATGTGTTCAAGTTTTTGTCGCGATTCAGGACCACCGCAGGGGAAATCAATTTTGGAACTTGAGGTTGTATCGAATGTAAAACCATCACAAGATTGCTTCTCTCCGAACTCCATTGGTATGATTTAATTTTTCTTTAAATCTGCTAATGTAATAGAAATCTTTTTTAAAGCGTTATGAGGTACGATTATTTTTTTGAAAAATGAATAACTCTTGATGACTGAAAATATGCTTTAGAAAAAATTTGAAGTTTTGTATTCTTTCAACCTTGTAGACATCTTCTTTCGGATAACTTATTTGTGTTTACGTTCAGGTGAAATAATTCTTGTATCAGTGTTGGTTACAGTGTTGGTTACTGTTGTAGGGAATAAGTCGTTAAATCAATAGTACTTAAGAAATTATTTACTACTCATCGCTCCAAAACTATGGAGACAGACCCTTTGAAACTTCCTGTCTATCATCAACAGAACAATTCTATCTTTACATATAATATTTGTTCGGAAACAGATAATTCTTACCCAAAATTCCTTATGTTATTCTTAAGGGCTTAGTAGAGTTTTTACAATTTTTTCCGAATTTTTTTGTTGTCTTTAATGATTGCATAACATCTCAAGAATGCTGTGTCTAAATTTCTTTTGGAACAAAATGGATAAAGTTATGAGTATTTTTATAACAGTCGTATGAACTTTTTACATCAGATTTCAAAACTTTAAAGCGATTTCCTCACAACTCACATTTTTAAAGTCGGTGCCCCTAATAACTTCTAAACAACTGCAACGATCGTTTTGAAATTTTGAACACTATTACTGTACCTAATTTATGAGATAACGCCGAACGTTTTTTCACTTCAAAGAGTTCCAAAAAAATTTTTAATTGATCAATTGAACTTATCTAACGATTTAATTTTGATTTTTAGAATCCAGAAGACCCATTACCGAGTTATGCAGGGCACCGTAATTCAACTTTTTTCCGAGACGATCAAAATTAATTAGGTAATTTTTAATATTTCTTCATAAGAGTTTAACAGATATGCCTTAGGACCATTTAGTAATGATAGTCGATAGAGGTCGCTTTTAAATTGTGTACTAAGTAATTACTAGTAACAAATACAATCAAAATTTTCTGTCATGTTTATTTCGCTCCAACATCTGAGAACGGACGACTTTAACCCGAATTCGCATGACTAATGGGCTCATGAGGATATTTCTTCAAATGTTTGCTATGGCATGTTGAAATCTTTTAGAAAAAAAAATTATGTTGTACGATATTTTGACGTAGTTTTGGGACCTCTAACTACTACATATTTTATCTATTGTAATAAGATAATATATCTAATCTCTTGTAGTTTAGTTATTGCATATTAATAAAAAATTTGCCACATAAGAAAAACAGCGTGTTAGTATTGCTGACTTACTTAGATATCACTACAATCATATGATCGTAAAATGTGGAGCGCATTCCCCTATCACAGCGCGGACAGTATCGTCCTCCCTTCGGGTGAAATTCTTGGTTGTACATATACTTGGCGAAAGTTCTTGTTTATATACCAGGCATAATAGCATCACAAACAATTAAATATTCGTATTATTTTTCATTCATTTTTTTATAATTTGCAGTGTGCTGTGAGAATCTTTCGTATCATATGATTTTGACATGCCTCGAAATTTCAATAGTGCTGAGTGTATATGAAAAATAAAATAATAAAAAAAAACAATAATATTGCAAAGAGCGTCTTCCAAAACAAGTAAACAATGCACTGCTAAATAATTTGCATTAAAAATAGGCTCAAAAGTCATAGAATAATTTAAATTTGTTTACAAAATATACATATATAATTTTTGTATATAAGTATACAAGTACATATAGTATATATATATTTCTGTAAAAAGTTTTTCAGAAGCAGACATTACTGTACATATATAATTTACCATTAAAACTTCTCATATCAATAATGACCCCACAGGCTGATCAACAAGATAGATTCTGTCTGTCAATTTGCATAAAGAGAAAAATAAGTTCACATGTAGTCTCTAATTAATTTTTCGGCTCATTTGTATACACGATATTCAGAACAGTATTCCACGTACTGGTGGGTGGTCAGGAGAAATATGTAAAGAAAAGTGTACGTGACTTATTTCAGGAGATTGCCGTTGACTAGGGAAATAGGAAAAAGGTATATCGTATTTCAAAATAATTTATTTTATCCTCAGATTCATTAAGATCACATTTGTTAATTTTTTGATATCAAGATTCTTATTGATCGTAAAGAGTTTTTTTAAGAAACTTACTTGTGAAACAGTAAGCACTTCCGACCGAAATTGAAAGGTGTTCTTCGAAACAAAAAAAAAAATATTTATGACTTATATTCTACTCTACTTCTACTTCCATACAGATAAATTAGGTATGAGGCTTGCACTAGCAGCTTTATACTTGTATATACATATATAGGAGATAGTACCATTTAAGTCGGAATGGTCACTTATATATACTTATCTTTGGAAGAGTAGAAAGGGTTGCAAATTATCTTATATCGCTTTCATTAGGTAGAAAGTTACGAAGGTATTCGATCCTCTTCTTAGAAATCCGACTATGAAATATCAATAACATTCTGTTCTCTTTTCTGTCTGATAACAACCGAGCAGAAGTGTTTTGAAGAGTTTTTAACACTAACACAAGTATTTCAGTGGCACAAAGCATGCAGTAAGAGTCGAGAAGTCATCGAAAACTTGATTCATGCGAGTCGTCGATCCAACTCATTGTTTGAAAACAGTCGTGTACAGAGATAGCAGATGATCTCAACATCTCTATAGATCGACTCAACACATTTTGGTTAGTGTTTTGGGTTCGAAGCGTGTCAATGCTAGACTCATACGTAAAGATCTGAATCTTTTGCAAAAACGATGTCGAGTAGTGATCCTAAAAGAGATGCTTGATAACGTAGCCGAGAACTCTATATTCATCAAACGCATAATTACTGGTGACGAGACGTGGGTTTATGTACATGACGACGAAACTGTTCAACAATCTAGCGAATAACGATAATAAAATTTGTATAAAATACGTGGAATTGTAGTTTTTTGTTGTCAGTCAGTGTCACATTTAAAATACGTTAAGAACTTTGCACCTAATAATACATTAGGTGTATTAAAAGTCACCAACTCACTAAACTCGACTTTGATACACCAAATCTTTCACATTTTCGCAAGTTTTAACTTTCCTAGTGGGACTCAGTGATAATGCCATATATAATTATGAATTTCTTATCACCGAAATCTTAATAAAACACACATATAAACACCATAACAGCAGTGCAATGAGTTCAAATGTTTATGTATGTATTTGTGTCAAACAATATTTTATTCTTGTTTTAATTTCTATTTGCATCTTGCTGCCTTAATATATGGTTTTTTCTCTGTTTTTGTGTATTTGTTTTGGATTTGCCTTCGTTCGACTACTTGCCTTGCAGTTAACTTGTGAGCCAGTATCTTACTGAGCGTTAGCTGAAGCCTTACAGTATTATAGAAGCGAGCAAAGTGATAACTTCTTAATAAATTCTAGTGCTGATAAAACAAAGTGTTTAATTCTAGTTTGTTTCTTGTTTTGTGTTTTTTTTTTTGCTGAAAATAACTAAAAATGCCAATTGTTCAAACTGGTGAGGAAAAATGCATAATTCATTTGTTTTATGTAGTTTATTGCATTATAATTACAATAAAAATGCTATTTATATCGCAAATTAATTACTTCACATTTTTACATATGAATGAATACTAGTAAGTGAAAAATAACTGGTCACATGACCGGCTGTAGTATCATGTGTATAATTTAATTGTGAGAAGAGTTCTCTGATAACATTTTGGTTTATCATATTAAATTACTGTTGAAATTGTTAATTATTTTTTTAATACTCGAGCTTTATTTAAGTTAATCTCAACCAAAATAGTTCTGCAAAAATAAATTTGTATTTTTCTTTGAACATGCTTCGACCATCTAACTGAAATTAAACAGAGGTTTTTAGCTTCTAAAATAAAATAGGTTTTCCATGTTTACCAGTTATTTATTCCCGACTAAAAAACTGATCCGTTGAATTTGGGTTTTCCATAAGAGTTATTGAATTGGTAGTTATTTTATTTATATAAAATTTCTAAGGACTATATCTTAATCCTCTGTTTTCTATATACTCAAAATTACTAATTCCACTTTTGGTTGGATGTGTGTTTTAACAGCACCCTATATGGTACTTGATACCTATTTTATATACTTGTAATTTCTCATCACAACCACTCATGGATCTCATAAATCTTATACAGAACGGGTCATAAGCACAGAATATTTTTGGAATATACACTTTTATGAAGATATTTTTAAGAATATTCTAAGAAAATGCGATCCAAAGCAACACTGATAAGTTTATTGAATTTATTTGTAACGGGATTTAGTCTTGGAAACAGCAATATAGAGAGAACAACGAATGCGACGGAGAAGTAGCAATTGTTTTACTGACATTTTATTCTATAGATTAAACTAAATTTTCATACTGATGTTTAAATTTTGGCGGATGCCATTTGAGACGCCATTTGGTTCGGAAAAACTCAAGGTATAAACATCTCAACAATCGGTCAACTTGAATGGAATCGAAATTAGTCACCACAGTAGATTTGTAAAAGGCTTAAAGCCAGTACATGAGTGTCACTTCAACCACACTAAGAAAATTTTGGCTTCACAAAGAACCGCGTTTCAATTGTCCAAGTGTGATCTTCGCCGAAACCTAGCTATCTTTACTTTTACAATTGTCTAGATTTTTAGCTGACAAAAAGAGGATTATAAAAGTTTTAAGTCAAATTCGAAACATATTTGTTGCGAAAAATTTTTGAAAGTCAGACATTGGTTCGAAATATCCCTAATAATAGATTTCGAAATCGATTTCGGGTCTTGAAATTGTATCCATCTTTCAGTTGTATATTCCAATAAAATATACCGAAACTAAACGGCCGTGAGTTCTACAGCATCCTTTAGTTATTGTTTTGAACGAAAGAGAACCTGTACACAGTTTTGAATTGGTGTTTCTTCACAGGTTTGTATCACTCAAAGTGATTACCCGAGCACATCATGACCCTGGGCTCCTTAGTCGTATGGTATTGAGAGCAATCAGTCAGTCAGATTAAGATGAAATTCTTGCCTAGCAAGCTTCATCTTTTCATATCATCAGATAATCTTAGTATTATCCTTCTTTCGAGGTTGTTGCGGTTTATCCCTTTATATTTCTCTCCAAAATTCAAAGAATGGACTAAGAAAATAAACTACAGAAGGAGAATATTAGAATTTTCCAGATCCCATTTCATAGTGCACAAACATTTTTTAAACACTTGTTGTCTTACAGTTCTTGGACCCATCGAACCCAATCTACTGGGTCGTACACTTACCCATGAGCATCTCGCAGTCGATTTCGAAGGTTTCTATTGTGAACCACCAGAGGAGTTTAAGCCATATCTGAAGAAAAAAATCTGTCTGGAAACCGTAGGCTACGTGCGTCAGTATCCCTATTCATCGCATGAAAATATTCACTTTTATGACGAGGAGGCACACGAGGCGGTCAAGAAAGATATACAACTGTATAAGAAATACGGCGGTGGCTCAATTGTAGAGAATAGCTCGCATGGACTGAAACGCAATCTTGAACTTATGGTGGATGTGGCGAAAGGCACAGGTGTACATATAATTGCCGGCACTGGACACTATGTGCACAATCTGCAGGAAAAGGATCACTTGGGTATGACGGTGGAGCAATTGACCGATTTATATTCGAGAGAAATCATTACTGGTGTTGAGGTGGAGGGTGTGGGTATGGTCAAGTGCGGCTATATTGGTGAAGTGGGTAGCGTTTATCCATTACATGGTTAGTGAGAGTACTAAAGAGAGAGAGAGTGAAATAATATAATCATCATAAATATTTTTCATGCTCAGATTTTGAGAAGCGCGCCATACGGGCCACTGGCGAAATACAGGAAGTGCTCGGCTGTGGTGTTTCCTTCCATCCCGGTCGTGATGCAGAGGCGCCATTCGAAATAATGCGTCTCTATTTGGAGGCCGGTGGTCGTGCTGACAAGGCCATTATGTCGCATGTGGATCGTGAGTTGGAAGTTTAATTCTGTTTGATGTTTAACCCCAATTAATTTTTTACTGTTAGGCACCCTATTGGACATCGACCAAGTGCTAGAGTTCGCCAAGTTAGGCAGCTACATTCAATACGATCTCTTCGGTACTGAGTGCTCATTCTACCAGTTAAGTCCTACAGTTGACATGCCGTCAGATGGTCAGCGCATTTCGAATGTACTGAAACTGCTAGAGGAGGGTTTAGTGAATCGAATTTTCCTATCACATGATATACACACGAAACATCGTTTGGTAAGTTTATGAAAAGTTAATTATTTCACTAATACTCAACATAAATATTTAATATCTCAGACTTCCTATGGCGGCCATGGCTATCACCACGTTTATATGAATATTCTGCCACGCATGTTTGCCAAAGGCGTTTCAGTTGAAGATGTCGAGCAGATAACCGTTACAAACCCAGCAAATTGGCTGCAATTTAACATATAACTTGTAGAAAGCTTAAAAGAAAGAATGTCAAACAGTTTTTGCAGCATATTTTGTATTCTAACTGCTATTATTTATGTGTATTCATTTTGTTATAAAATTCTGTTTTTATAAAATTATATTCAATGATTAAAGTTGTTATATAATATCATGTCTAGAAGTCTATTTTGAATTTTGTAAAGTTTTTTTTTATTGTTTTCGAGTTAATAAAGCTAAACGATTTTCAAATTTGAACTTTAATCGAGTCTAACCACAATTTATAGAAAATGTGCTCTTTAATATTTTGTTTTGGTTGTAAAAAAAATGTAATAGGGGACTGGTTTTATCCATCTTAAGCACTCCACAACCATATAACCAAGATATTAAGTCCTAATAATTTCGCTTAGTGCCTATTGGTCAATGTCCAGTAAAAACTGCTACGATTGCTTCAAGTTGAACTATGCTAGGGGAAAGTATTTCAGTAGATCTCCGGCGTGATACTTTAGGCCAAAAAGATCTCGCTGTCGCACAGGAGTGGGTCGTAAGATAGCAGTTCTGTCGGAAAAACACTACAGTAGCCCGGTAACCTAAAGCTAAAATAGACAGAGAGCTGCTTACTGAAAACTCACCCCCAACATCGATCCATCCGTGAAAAAGCTCACTGCGCCTATTCTCCAGCGACTCCACCCTATCCACATATACATATAGCAGAGAAAAGCCACCACCTGTAGCCTCTATGTTTTCAGGAATGACCTTTATGGAGGAGAGAATTTCAGAGTTCGGACACCTTCATATACCCTGCTACTCCGAGCCATAGAGCGTATTGCCGGCAAAGCCGACGGGCGCTTAGTGTAAAATGGCATTAAGTGCTATTTTTGGTGTAATCTGGTTGATGCTCGAAATATTCAATTATTATAATTTCGTTTATTTATTTATAGTTTGCAGTTCATATACACTTTTTCAATTTAAAAATTATGCTTAAAAGTAACTAAATTATATATTTATATATGCAATAAAAATTAACTTAATGATACGAGTAACATTTTGTGGAAAAATTGCGTTGCAACTGAATATAAATATGTAAGTATATGTAGAGATTTGATACAAAAAACAAAAATGCTAACAAAATGTTATACATACATATACATACATACTAATATAAATAAAAAAAAGTATTCACATATGTTATGAGAGCTAATGCTAATACATACAAACGACGATTATCAAATCTTAATAGCTAAATGGTTTGAGTAAATTCGTGTGATTTGATTCAAAAGTAGTATTTCACAAAAATGAGTGTATTATAAAAATAAAACAACGTTAATAAAAATTAAATGTTGAAATAAAAAATAAAAAAATATAAAAAATACAACTAATAAAAAATATAAAAAAGTAATATGTATAAAATATAATTATGCATAATATTTTAAAAACCTTTCGTTGCAATGAGCAGCTGTAAATAATATTCCTTATTCTCTAAATTGACGAATGTAAGGATTATAACCATCAGTAATATATGTTATAATAATATTAAAATTTTTACAATATCTTTAACTCAAAGCTTTTGCAAAAACGAATAGTTTTGAAATGTTTTTACTAACGTATGTTAAGCGTTATCAAAAAAAATATCAAATGTATTAGCAGAAGACACTTGCTTACAAGCATGTGTTATGTGTATGTGTGTGTGTTGATTAACTTAAGATTCTAATTAAAAAATATAAACCTTTGCAAATCGACGCTTATGAGCTGTTTACATTAATTAACTTTTGTTTTTCTTTTTTGGCACATCGAGGGTACAGTTTAGCAACGAAAATTTATGAACTTACCGCTATAAAATTTCGAAAAAAAAACATAAATTTTCAAAATTGCTGGCGAATTATAAACGTGAACATTTGATCGAATATACTTCGTCCATAAAAACGTAAATATGTATGCATGTTTATAGCTTGCACACTCGCAATGCAAGTAAAATATTTACACAGCTGCACATCGTTGCAATTATAAAGTTATACAGTAAAAGTCTAAAGCGGCTACGCCATATTACATACTTACATAATTATGCAGTTAATTACGTACATAGTATATAGTGTGTGTATATATGTATATGCAAAATATAAGTGAGAGTCTATCTTAAAACACGAAATATATGCTTACAAAATATAAAATTTGATTCTGCTGCTACATTATCCTTCATTTTGTTTTTGTTTGTTTAAGCAGCTTTATGTATTATATTTGTATGTATAAGTAAATGTATGTATGTATGTATATCACCTTAACTGTATGCAAACATGTGTGTTTATATTTATACATTTATATATGGTATATATATGCAGTATGAAAATATTTAAATGTTTTAGTTTCCTTTTTTATTGCATTCAATTTATATTTGCTTCCTAATGACTATTATCTAATCGTATTATCAGTGCATCGACAACGTTGTATATCTCGTCGAAATGTGGTCGTGCTTCAGCTTCAGCGCACCAGCACTTTAACATGAGCCGATACATTTCGGGTGGTGTGTTTTCAGGTGTTGGCATACGGTAGCCTGTCAGATGGAGAAAGAGTAAGAAATATATTATATATAAATTCAACTTTCATAAATACTTTTGGATATTATAACTCTGTAATAACTAAATTGCCTCGTTATAAATAAATTTAAATGTAAATATTATATTTTTAAATCAAGCTTTTTAAAAAGTTCAAGTTTTCAAAATGTTTTCCAGAAACAGCGAAAACACAAAAATCATTGTAACAATCTGAAATTGTATAGGTTTCTGCAACGTTATAGTTAATATAAAAGATTACACTTTAAAAAGCCCGCCGAAAACCCTTTATAAGGCAGTTGCTATACCATTTAGAAGAAGAAACACGCTTAAAATTAGTAAACCAAGTAAAACAAGGAAATTACTATTTTCGTGGGAACCCAAAACATGCGAAAAATTAGGTTATCTTACTCCAATCAAAGACAATTTTTCTTACAATTGATTAAAATTCTTGAAAATAAGATTTGTTATATTATTATTTCTACTCACCTGCATCGATTCTCTCTCGAGCACGTGAATTACTCATGCCTGAGTAGGGTGTATCGCCTTTGGAGAAAATTTCCCACATTAAAATACCGTAGGACCAAACATCACACAATGAGGTATATTTGCCGAAATTTAATGCTTCCGGCGCTGTCCATTTAACAGGAATTTGTTTCATGCCATCGGAAACTGTAAATGTTAAAAATATTTTTATAATTTTAAATACAACATTACCAAAAAAACATTGTAAATTTATTTTTTTAAATATTTATATAATTCCATACATAATTTTTAGAAAATTATACCGAACAATTGACATACATGTACTTATATTGTATGCAATATTTTTTATCGGGTAAGTAAATTAAATCAGTGTGGAAATTTTATGGCCAGGAGATGAAGAATTATTATCGTACTTTGTTTTTAATTTTTACATCATTTTCTTAGTTACCTATATACTCTTCTTCTTCACGTGACATTCCGAAATCGGAGATTTTCACTGAGTTTTCAAAATCAACCAAACAATTACGAGCTGCGAGATCACGATGTATGCAGTTTTTAGATTCCAAATAGCGCATACCTTAATTGGGTGAAATATATATTTTTAGTATTAGACCAAATTTCTTAGTTACTAAAAATACTATTCCATTTTCAACTTACCCGCCGCCGCATCTCGACACATGCCCATTTGTTGACGAGTCGTCAATGAATTTGAGTTCTTTCGCAAATAATTTAGTAAAGAGCCACCTGAAATGTATTAAAAATAATTATGAATTTAGTATAAAATATTTTTGATAAGTTTGGAATATTGTTGATTCAAAAATATGGCACCGGCATCTAAATCAACTCTGTGTAATAGCTTTTAAATTGCTTTAAATTGCCTGCTTCCAGTTTATCTACATTTGGCCTACCTGGCACGAGTTCCATAACGATCATAATTGGTTGCTTTTGCACACAAATACCAATTAATTTCACAATATTCGGATGGTCGTACTGCTTGAGAATGCGCCCCTCTTGCAAGAATTTGCGTTTCTGTTCATCGGGCAGCGTCATGCGGCAAGTTTTCACAGCGACATCCTGTTTTGTGGACTTCAACTTCGCTTTATAGACATCTCCGAAGTTACCCTGCATAGTTATTAAGTAAAAAAAAATTATTAAAATTGTTACATTTAAACTAAAAATTGCATTCACACTTACACGTCCGATCTTCTCGAGCAACACGACGTCATCATTGCTCAACTCCCAGCGTTCGCGGCAAATGGCACGTCGCAAGATGGCACCCGATTTCACAGTGACCGGCAGCTCCGACTGATATTGATGCATAATGAGCTCCTGAATGCTGGGGAATGGCGGACCTTCGAAACGGAAATGTCCATCGACAGTGGTTTGCACAATGAAATGCTTGTGTCCATTCCAACAAACACTTAACACAATTTGACTCTCCTCGTTGCGTATGGTCTCACGTACCAGAAAATCACCGTCGTTGTTGAGCAAACGCACGACTTCTTCGCGCGGCAATACGCCATGGAACCATTCTTCTTCGTAGAGTGGTCGATTTGTGGACAGTGACATCTGTGGAGTAAATTAGTGTGTGATTTAATAGACTTATATAATCAATGATACTTTTTCAAATGATTTGCTTAATTTTAGTAATACAAAATTGTTAAAACATAAAGGTCAGCGTAAGCAGCTTTTTACATACATAAAATCTTTGTACATTTACATGCCCACAGAAATATTATAAAGAGCTGGAGAGAAAACCAAAAGAGTGTTTGAATAAAATATTTTTTTGCTGCATAAGTAGAGCAGTATCTTAAAGTAATTATAAGCGTTTTATTTTAATCTAGCTTGCATATTTACACAATTATATTTACTTAGATTTATTAACTAAAAACAATATATAAAAATAAAATTAGTACTTTTATTTAAGAAAAACATTGGAAAATAATTTTATATTTTAGAAACAACATTTTTAAATTATTAAAAATAGCTTAAATAGATAATTACCGATTTCTAAAATTATTTTATGCACCCAACATTTTATATATGTACATACAAACAATTACTAACTATTTATATAGTAAAACACAGTAAATTATGTGAGAGAATTTTTTACGAGCTTTAGCCATCGCAATCGGCAAACAGTTCGTAACAGTCTTAACTGCATATGTTTGACTATAACTATACCGGACAAATTACAAAGCATAGAAGTGGAACACCAAAATGATCCAATAAAAAATGCTGTAATCGATACCACTCTGGAATCGTGTGTTTTTTTAACAAATGTTTGAATTATAATTTCAACTGTTCTTTATAAGAACCTGTTCATAAACAGTACGTCCAGAGTACTAATAGAACCACGAAGTTTTCTACCAGATAGAGTTAAGTTTCAAAAATGATTTAAGTAATTCTAAACATACAAGTATTTGTGGCCTTTAAATGACTCCATAAAACATTGCTATCTTTTAACACCGTCAAGAAAAGATGCCAGTTGCACTATGACTTGCTTGAACTGGAAAGTACTGAGGTCAAAGTTAACTCGACGGTTTGGGATTAAATAATATCAGGTTAAACGGATTGTTATCTATTATTTGTTATAATGTAATTTTATTCAGTATGTAATTTTATTCATTATTATGTAATTTTATTCAGACACTGTCATATAAGCACTATGATATATCTTGGATAGGAACTTCCATAATCGATGTATTAAGGTTCTATAAAACTTCTTAATTTTTTTTATTCCCATGGACCTCAAGTGTAAAATTATAAAATTTCAATAAACCCTTAAACTTATTTACTCTAATGAAACCATTATCTAGCAAATAACCTGAGCAGAGCAAAAAGTTATATACTAAAATGCTACGCCAGCTAATTTAAGTAAATTCGGGAAAGAGTTTTATCACCAGTTAAAAAGTGGTGGAAGGTTAATAAGCTTATATAACTTAAACAGCTGATAACTAATAACAATTATTATTTCAAAATTAATGTGGTTTTATGGTAAGATCTGCAATCATTTATTGATTTCTTTCACACATTACTGAGAATGTAAACAATATAAATATTGAAATATGTGTATTACTTGGCAAGTATTGGCGACGCTATAATATCTATATAATTGTATATATTTAGTCGACTATTTTTAATCACAAAAACAAAAATAAATAAATAAAATGACAACAGAAATATACAGCACAACACATGCGCATACGTCAATATTTTGCATGGAATATTTCGTGCTGTCAAATATTGGTTCGAAGTATATTTCAAGTTCATATTATTTTTAGGTGGTTACGTAGGATAAACTAAGTTTATTACTTTTTTAAAAATTCGTTTGGCAATAAATGTGGCATTTCTCACATCCGGTTGAGAGCAAATTTGTGGCTTGCATACCGTATTTATGGAAACTTATGCCACCAAAATTTTATTTAGACTTCAATTGAGATGCTTTCGTATTTGACATGTTTTTTTGGTTAATCAGATCACAAATATTTTCGCTTAAGCATAACTGCATACACATTTGTTATTTTATTTTGACTTTTAACAATTTCATACACATTTCTTTTAATTTTGTATGCCGCTAGTTCATTATATCGCAACACGTAATATTTAAAAATCAAAATAAAACGTTACATCTTTGGTAAAAGACTTAAGAAGCCATGAATCTTACAAGCATAAACGATTTGGGTCGTTTCTTTCTGGCTGGCGCCACCGGCGGCCCCACGATTTCTGTCGGTGGCGTCAGTAGTTGTGACGAGCTACAACTACTTAGACCCGACGAGCTCATTCTGAAGAAGCTGAAATGCTGCAGGATGCCCTCCGTGTTTGGTATTTTAAAATTATTAGTTTTCGTAATTTAAAATGCACGACAGTTCAATAATTATCTTACAATTTTCTTGAAATGCCAGTTGATCTTCACATATTCTAAAATAATAATAATTTTCTTAGGCAAGTATCGGCAAAAAAACGCGGCATTTGTATGCGACCGACGATTGACTGAATGAAAAATTGAATGCGGCTGATATTCCGCAATATTTAGATGCCAAAAATCGTTTCAATATTATACAAACGAAAAGAAATTTGAAAAAGTGGAATGAAAATCGCCTATACTTTGTATGTCTTCGCTGCTTATACTTTCATGCAAACAACAACTATATATCGGGTTTTCCAATAGGGATGATATGATTTTTAATTGTCGTTTCGGCCATTTTTAATATGTCATGATCTGTAATTTTTTCAATGTATTCAGTAAAGTTTACAATATCACGGAAAAATATACGCAAGAATAACGTTTACAAATTATACAATTTTATTATCAAAATAATCGTTCTAAAATTGCAACTTTTCGTGCAACATCTGGTTGCAACAAAACGGGGCTATGTGCCACACAGCACGTACAACAACCGAATTATTGCGAGAAAAGTTAGGAGATTCGATAATTTCAAGAAGTTGTGATTTAACACCATTACACTACTTCTTGTGGGGTTATTTGAAGTCATTAGTCTTTAGCAATAAACCAGTCTCTTCAAGCTTTAGAAGGCAATATTGAAGGTGCTATTCATGACATACGACTCGATTTAGTGGAAAAATTACTCGAATTTGAATGATGATATATTACAAACTTAATAGTATTGTTTGTACTTCACATTAAATAAAAAACATATAAATTTTCTTAACAATTAGTGTTTATTTTTTAATCATATCACTCTTATTCTTAATTGGAAAACCCTGTATATTATCGCGCTACACTTGAATTTTCGCTCGATCGGAGAGCATTGGCCTATTTAGAGAAATAAAAATGGGTACACAGCATTATATGGCGCTCTAATTCTTTTCCGCTTAGTGCTTTACGTTTTTGTTTTTTTATTCAGCCCCAGCCGTTCCCAATTTGCAATAATACTCTGTAGAGAATTCCACCTGAGAAAGCTTAGATCAGTTTATTTGATAGTTCAATGGATAACTGCTAATTTTAGTATACAATTCTCATTGCTCTTTGGAAAGAGTTTCCTTTTCGCTGCCTATGTGAAATCATTACCTGCCAGTCGGTGGCCGTATGACTCAATGTTGGAACGTATCCAAAAATCGATTTGCTTGATTTAGTGCAAATAACCAGAAGTGAAATTAACCGACTGCTTTCGCATACAAATTTATTTATTTGTAATCAATTGCAGTATACAAGTATTATAGCATGTAACAGGTGGAGATGCGTTCAGCGTTTATTGCCTGCCTAATAGTAATGTGTGCGAGAAAAATATAAAAAAAATATAGGTGACACTGCATTTTTATTTATACTGTTTTTGATTTCCGCTTTCATTTGCCTAGATGCAGAATGAATTCCTAGTAAATAGATGTTTTATACTCAGCTTCAAGTAAGTGCCTTTCTTTCTTGCTAGTTGTTAATTTTTGGTATAGATAGTTTGAGAATGTCGTTAAAAATCTAAAGATAGTGAAATCCTACAACATATAGTTCTGAGTATGAATTATCGTTATTAACTGAAATGTGAAATGCGTGTCTCCCACATATATTATTACTATTATGTCAATGTTGTACAACTTAAAAAATATTATCTACAATATATAGTATATTACGCATTGTGTATGTTATGTACATATAAGTTTATTCATAATGATAGAGAAAAATAAAATTATTTTTATTCAAAAATGTAAGTAATCTATTCTACTATGGATACTTGAAACTTGACGCATGAAAGGTGTCAAATTATTCATTTAATACCTATACGATAGATGTGAGCCGCAGATAGAACCGTGACTCAATTAATTCATTTGCCTAAATGTAGACTACGTTTCCATCGAATTACATAAATTCAATACATGGCATATTTTTAGGGTAATTGACATTAACTAGTTAATTTTTAACTTTATTCGTTTATTATTATTTTGTATTTTGTAAATTATTATTTTATTCAGAATTAGCGGCGCTAAGTTTTTCAAATGCAATTCTAGTTATAATTTTTGTTTGTAGTTTGATAACTTTACTTAATTATGAATAAAAAAGTTTTAACTTAAAAATACATGATCAATATGTACATATATACAGATATAATAAATTAAATGAGTACATATATATATATATATTTATTTACATTGATTAGCAAAATCATGACGATTATTAAACCTAGTTTTAATTAAAAATAATGAATTGTGAAATTCTTTAATTGTACCCGGTAGTAATTGCAAAGCAACTTCAACAAATCGGAAAATTCTCAACATTTTTTCGCAATTAATAACCAATATTATTTACAACGGTTTAACATGCATGAAACTTTATCAGACAAGTATATATATTTACAAAGGAATTCCTGTTAATTAGCTGAAAACTTAAAATATGCGAACTCGTCAGCGCTCAGGTGTGTAAAAATGATAAATAATGCAGAGATATTCCAGTAAATGTTTAACAATATAAACATAAAAACCCGTTTTACGACAACAAAGTTTAATGATTGTGAAGGTCAAAGAAGCTCGGCTAACAGCGCCTGGATGCGCTAATTGCTATACATTACGAAAAAGTGGGTGGCAATATGTGTCTTTTTTTATTGTTGGTGCGCGTCTGGTGCGTAGATGATGTACATACATACATAAATAGAGTGTGCAGAGAGTGAGAGTAGTCAAAATCAAGAAACGCAAAAAATATAATAAACAAAATGCTAAATTCTGGTCAAAACACAACTACGTCTATATTGGATGCAAAATTCAGCTACAGTTGTGAGTAATTATAAATGCAGCTACGGATGCAAATTTCAAAGAAAATATATGGTATGATATATGCCTTTCGGCGCCTCCTTTTCTGCGCCTGCGTTGCGTGCAACTGCGCTGGCTGCTGTTTCTTCTACACTACAACTACTCACACTCATCGCCAAGCTGGGAACGCTGTAGCAATGCTCCTTCAGGCTGAGGTGATCCTCGCCACCACTGCCCTCGTCTTCGGCCTCGGCAGAGCTCATCGAATCGAAGTGTGTGGCTGGTTCGATGAAGGCGATTTTATTTGAGCACTTATCGGGCGGGCATGTGCAGAATTCTTCAACTCCCGCAACGCAGTTTTCCGTATTGACTTCGTCGCGTTTGAAGCCGAAGTCTTTGCTGAACATATTCTTGGACGGGTGCACGCGCCGGCGCTTCGTGCATTGTTTGCATATTTTATCGCGTTTAATTTGGAAATTTAGTAGCTTGGCGCGGAACGTTTGACGCAGCGCTTTAGACTTCTTTTGTATCTTTGGCACTTTCAGGCGTAGCTTAGCGGTCATGGCTAATGGCTCGGTTTTGGACGGATTAGTGGTGCTATCAGCTGAGGCAGCTAACACCGGTGTTTGCGTTGTAGTACTCGTTGTATTGTCTGTTGTGCTAGCATTGTGCTTGTTATTGTTGTTAGATGTCGTTTTTTCTTTGGTCACACTGCCGTTACTCTTTGGCTTGGTATCCGTTTCGTTCTCCGTTTCTACGACAGTTTTATCAGCGCCGTCATTGGCGCGACCATTGCTCTGCGTTGACTTGCCGAGCTCCGGATCGATCAACTCAAACTGATCGCTGTTCTCTTTGTATTCCACCAATGTAATGGTTGTCTTTGGCACTTTCGGCATGGCGTTCTTCTTCGTGAACTCCTTGAAATTGGTCATAATCGCGTTTATGGACTTTTGTGAAAATGAGACAGAGCGTTTCTTGGTATTGCCGCCACTACCAACGTCACTATCTTTCTCCTTACGCGTAGCACATGTTCGGCAGTCGGAGCTTGAGCTTGATGAACGTTTGGAAGAGCAATGTGCCTCCTGGTCTCCGGCGGTTTTCGTGCGTGTTGTGACTCCGGCGGCATCAGCTGACTCGATGGCATCAAAGTTCAATTGCGGGCGCGTTGTAGCAGCTTGTGGCAACTGACGCTTCAGACGATCATCCAGTGTGCGATTCAATTCATCGATTTTATCCAAATGCGCATCAATTGAATTCTTCACTGTCACTTTTGTTTCTAAAACGGCGGTGGTTCCTGCCACTATTGTCCCACTACTATTACTCTCCGAAACCATATCCAAATCCTTCTTTTCCACCACTTCCGTGCGCAATTCAGGTGCACACGCGACCGTTAGTCTTGTGCTGTCTTCACGATTGATTTCGATTTTCACATTTTCTTGTCGTCGCAAAGCTAACTCACCACTTCTTACACTATCACAGTCACCCCCCAATGATTCACAACCCCCTAACAAATCGGCATATATATTAATACTATTATTATTGTTGTTCGTGTGATCGTCTAACTCTGGCTCATTTGGGTTAGTATCAATGGATATAACAAAAGCGGTTGGCGTCTCTTCTTCATTTAAACACAACATTGAGAGTTGCGTGCGTCGCAACTTGGGAAACATTTTTGCATTAGTGGCACTACGATCAAACATGATCACTGAATCGGGATCGATGTCATGCAGACCATAGCTAGTGTTAGCTTCGAGGCTTGTAGCCATGCGCAAGGGGTTAGTAATGGGCTCATATTTCGCAGGACTGGTATTTACCGACAACGATCCGAGACTTTGGGAACGAGGTTGTAGCTTGTTGAAGCGTTGCGTGCGCATACGGTTGACGGTGGGCGTGGTCGGCTGCGGTGTCGATTTGCGTTTGAACGGTCTACCACGTAGTAGTGTGAGCACGCCACCGCGTCGTCGTAACTCGTTGATAATACTTACGCCTGTGGAATTGGTCGAAGTTGCCGAGTTCTGCTAAGCGTGTTTTTAGTTGTCAAAATTAATTTTTTTTTTTAATATTATTTTTACATTATTCGTTTTGCAATTGATTGTTTGTATTGCAAGCGTATGGTTGGGTGTTTATAGAAATAAAGTAGGGTATATAAGAATATATTTATATGGGAGAAAAAGAGAGTTTTATAAGTAAAAGTACATAAGCTTATAACATTAGATGAAATAGTGTAATTAGTGTACCCAAACCTTAACTTCAAAGTGCTGATAGATGTATCAAGAAGTATAGTGTTCTCGATATAGTGGGATTTAGAAGAAGAATTGAAACTTGAACGCTATTTATGTCTTTATAACTCAAGCTTACACTGATATTAAATTTAACGGCTTTTTGTTTGTAATATGACGCTACAAAAACTATCGAGTTATTTCCATGCTAGTTGAAAAAAGTCAGACGGCTGCAAAAATTAAGTTTTTTAAAGCTTGAACCATAGACCATATGATAGTGGATCAATTACTCAATATTGACGGTTTTCGATTAGTCAAAGCTTAGAGAGTGGCAAATCGATCAAACAATCAGTATATATTGTATCAGAATGGCTGTTATAATCAAACTGAGATAGAATAATAAGCAATTATATAACTTTAATCAGATAACTATATATGTACAATTTTCTATTAGAAACAACATTTTAGTTATTGCTTCCGTAACTTTTTGTGAAATGAAAGTGGTGCTCAAATATAATAAGCAAAAGAGTGACAAATCGAAGAGAGCTAACTCTACAAAAAGCACTTTTATTATGCCTCTTAAGATTAAAAATTCATTATAACTAATTTTATAAATTATGTTTTTACTTGTATATGCGGATCTTGGCTACTTTCAAACGACCGAACAAATTTTTACGAGTTTTTTTTCAAGTCTGAACTTTACTTGGAAAATGATCAAAATTGAATTCTCTTTATAATATGTAATACATTTCTATTCACGTTTTTAACAAAACTGTGTTGGTCCAGTAAAAAAATAGTGCTCATATGTATATGAAACTCGTTAACGCCAATACAATATGTTACGATTGTTATCTTCAAGAAATCTTTATACTTTTCGATACATCTTTCACCAAAACCTCCTAATTTTGTGAATGCTATTTCTAAGTGTACTAAAAGTATCTCAAAACCATTGCCTTCAAATGACATGTACTTAGAATTAAATTTAAGCTGCTTAAAGTAATCACTAAGTGGTACTAAGTCCCTTCACCTGCTTTTTGTGTGTGTAAATTTGTAGTATAAATTTTATTAAATAAAAATGTTTATATAACCTACACACTTACCTGTTGATCATTGTTAAAGCTATTCTCTATGAAATTCTGTTCCAAATGATCATCACAGCCAGATGGCAACTCCTCGCAGCCAATCTCATTCAAAGCGCACTTAATCATATCCACCAACTTTTGTTTTTGCTTCTCTTGACAGCGCAATGCATTGAGGTCCTTGGATTGTCTGCTGTTTTTACCAAATCAAATACAAATGTTATAGTAATGAAATTTTCATTTTCTAAAATCAAACATTTCCACTTACTTCTGACTGTCTTTGGGCGATTGTATGCCATTGCTGGCGGTGCTGCCATTGCGCGTTATGCTTCCATTCGCTATCGGTGAACCGCCATTCGCATGCTCGATCATTTTCAGCTGTTTCTCCTGGCATTCCTTCACAGACATTTCCAAATCAATGAGTCGTGAGCGCAGCCAGTCGACTGTGAGATTATCAACGGTGAGCGTATTCGATTGCAATTTGCCGGGTATATCCTCGATAAGTGCGTCATCGAATTGGAATACTAAAGGTGTGGTGGGGGAGGTTCTATAAAGTGAATAACTATGATTATTGATGGAGTGAGTACTTTACAGCACAACGGTTACTTGTGTTTCTCGGTGAATTCCCGATATTCCTCACTGGGATTTATGCTGTTTATCACATTGTCGATGCGTTTCTGTATTTCCTTGAATTTGTCAGATGTGAGATCTCCATGCTGGCTGGTCTCTTGCAGTATATTCTTCCACAGTAGTATGAAACTCTCTTGCACAGATTGTTGGTGCTCCAACAGACCGGGTAGCAATACTGTACGGAAATCTTTCTCCACCTCGACGGCTTCGGTGATGGAGAGTACATATTCGTTGTGGGTGAGATGTAGTTTGCGGCAGGCTTTCTGATATTTATCGCGTACATCATCCAACTTTCGACCACCACGACCGGCTATAAATGAATGCAGGATTATAGAGTGTTTATTACCAAAAATTAAAATTATATGATTGAGTAGGTTTAAATGTATTATTAATTAAGAATGTTTTATTATAACTTTAGAAATAAAAGGTAATTCTATTGCGAAACCTTAGCACAATTTTTTATAGGTTTTTTAGGTTATGAAAGTATTGACATAAAGTGAAATAGAAATATTTCAAATTTAAGACACACACATTTTATTTATATTAAGTTAAATATATATTAGTTTCCATAATTACATTTTATGTAGTGTTCCTCAAAGCGCGTCCGCAGTGCCTTATATCCCTCCAGATGTTTCTGATATTCGGCTTTCTTACGTACAACTTCGTCTGTGAGCTGAAAGGAAAAGGAAAAAAAACATTAGAAAATTTATGTTAAAAGTTATCAACCATTAATCAATTTCAAAAAAGCCCTAAATATCCCAAGCAATGTAACAAATCATTACTTTTGTATATTAGTATCTTGAAAGCATCTTCATTTCATTTCCTGAAATTGATCATCAGTTTTCCGTTATATCTATTTAGGTAAATTACTCAATCAGTGTGCATATCAGTTGTAGTTGAGGTAAAAATTATAATACAACTTCGCAAACATCACTACCCAAAATAATGAATAAATATATTTGTTCTTTGGAAAAGTGTAGACAATTAGTTAGAGGTAAAAAGATACTAACATCCACATATATAATATAATTATGTGCAATGTTTATGCATATCATTTTTTCAGCTGACATAAAAATAGTCATAAATACGGCAAAATTTAATTACTCAATTAATTCCCTGCATATAAAACCGAATTATGGCAACTTTTTACCGCAATAGGTACGATTACAACATTTACCATGGGAAAAGTATATCAATATATATTTTTACATACATTTATGTTTATACGCAAATTTCCAAACATCAGTGTACCAGGTGCTTATATTTTTCTACCCATTTACCGTACTGATCGTGTTTGTTTAGCCCAAATACCCAGAGAAAAAGTTGTAGCTATGAGAAAGTGCAAGTTATAAATAGCAAACGATATGTGTTTCTGAAATAATTTTATTTAATGCACACTTGTTAATGTGCTGGCTGTGGTTGTGATTGTTATTACCTGTTACCATTTACCGGCACTTCACAAATTACGCGCAAAAGCTGAAGAGCTGACGTACGAGTGTTGAATTTAATGATGATAAGTCAATAACCGGTAAACTAACAACAACATATCGCTATAACACTAACCCACAAATTGGACACATTTTTATGACAACTTACACATAGACACATGTGTGTGTGTGTGTGTTTGCATGCGCGAATGCTCGTAGTATGCACAACAAATTGCCTTAATAATAGCAAAGTCCAGAGACTTTAATTGAAACTCACTTTTACTTGTGCATACCAATTGTTTATAAACATATGTATGTATGTATATATACATATGTATATTTATAATGTAGATGCAAAACGTTAATTTATGTATGTGTGATACACGTGTATTAACAATTGAGAAAAGCCTCGCGGCATCTCGTATTTCACTTTTTTTTAACCCACTTGTCTTAATATAAATTATAATAAATTAGTATGTATGTATGTAGGTTTGTATGTATGAATGTATGCATGTCTTTATATAGATGCACAAGCTATGCAGATATTTATAAACGTATCTAGCGTATAGGCATTAAATTTATTTGCCTTTTATCCACATATCTTCGGTATTGTCGCATTTTTGCCGCACCGTACGTGATAAAGACCACGTAAAATTGCAACAAAACACGTTTGCCGATTTTATTATGTTTTTAATACTACACGCGAGTACCAAGCGTTGCACGGCGTCTTACATTGCGGCTTATTTAGGCCAATTGTCGCTGAGCTTTTGTTGCTTATGCAAAGTTTTGCATATTTGTATGTACCTAAGTAATTATAACGCTGAAATTTTATGTTCACACACTTATTTTCTAACGCGTGCATATGCACTGAAGCAGAAAGGTAAATAGGGAATATATTTTTTGAAAATAATTACAGGTATTTTAATTACTTAAAGCTCACTTATTATTTAATAATGCAATTTTTTTAACATTTAACATTTTTCATTAGAGTATATGTGGCGCAAAGCGGCAGTGAAAAGTAAAATATTAGGCTATATTAATTTATTGATTTATCCTATATTTATTCAATCTAAACATTACTTAAATATCTGTGAATATACTTGAAATTACATTTTTTTTATTGTAATTCGGATTCGTTTTAAAACTTTTATTCAATATATTCAGTTTTCTTGGAAATGTAGGCAAAAATTTATATTACTTTCGTTTGTTCGGAAAAATGCTGAAACTTGCGGCTTACAAAGTGTATTCAAGGTAAAATCATGTTCTAGTTAATTTTAGTGTAATATTTTTGAAAGGAAACATATTTGTAAGAAATTGCGTTATTGCCACAATTAGGATATTCAATTTGGAGATTTTTAAATATTTTTTCGGGGCTTTTTTACCACCAAACTTTTCAAGACAATCGCGTTTTTGTTTTATCTGAACTTATGAATTGATGATTTTGAATTTTTTCAAGTCTAATTTAATCTCTGTAAATCGCTCATGAAGCAAAAAATGTGTTTCAACTTCTACGACAGTAAACTTGTAAAGAAATGACCATAAGTATAAATCTTCAAATGTTTTTAATGTTTGAATAACACAACGGGAGCGGTTGCCAACCTCATTATATTTTGAAATTATTAATAAAAAAATACAAATAATTAAATGGTGTTGCCACTTAATTTCAAACGCAAAATACAAAACTATGTTTGGTAAAAATATAGATGAAAGAAGGCATGCCAAGTTAGTAATAAAATAAAAGTGTATGGTAATGCGTAGAAATTGTTATAGTATTTAAAAATAAAAGCAAGAAAGATATCGCATGAGTAAGTCACAAAAATACGAAGCAGTACCGAGCAGTTTTTTTTGCAGACCAAGCGTTTGCTCTCTTAAGGGTAATCATTTCAAATAAATTAAAATTAGAGGCATCTGGAGTGTTTTCCTTATTTCTAAATGAAAGCTCGCCGAAAGCCAGTTTGGATGTCATTTTCCACCTTGTTTCTTAACAATTAAGTTTTTTGAAATTGAAGAATGCGTATTAGCTTGATTCCACAAGTACTTCAAGATGAAACTTTTACTCAGCAGATATTTGGAGACAGACTTTTTGTTTCTTAAGCGAGTTGAGTAGTAGCTCGAACTCAGCGCTTATCAGCCATAAAATAGGAAGTAGACTTTAAATTAAAAGCAAATAATTTTAATTGCTTTATAATCGAAATTATGTTTTTCAAGTATGGTTCAAGTAGTAGTAGTGGTAAGCAACTATAGATAAACATAAACACATATATATAAATATAATATTTTATGAAAACTGTCGCTGTTTCAAGAAAATGATTAGAATACTTGAGCTTTAGTCTAAAATATATACTTATAATATATATCATATACATGGTTACACCGCATATATAGTTAGAGTGTAATTTGTTTGTATGCGCGTATATCAACACTGATCTTACCGCAATTATTTTTTGCTATTAGTTAATATACTTCCGCAATTCATGCAGTTATCGCACTTAATTATGCATTCACCGCCAACATAACTGCGCTGCACTGAGCTGCCACAAAAAAATTGCTTAAGCGAAACACTACAATGGTCGGTCCAATCACAATCTTGTGAACTGCACACAACAAAAATCACACAGCCACGCTGTGATGCACCCTCATCATCAAACTCATCAACATACTAGTCATCCGCATAATCATCATTATTATCGTTGTCATGTCTGCCGCGAACTGGTCATTACTAGCAATCGCTGATTTGCACTTCTGCATAGAAGTTCTTCAAGTTTTCTCTTCGCTCACACGAAGTGGGAATGTGCAACTTAGTGCTGCACTTACCACATGATCATCAGATATGCTTTTGCCCGTTTCACCATTAGCACTACATTCGTAGCTTCGTTTGCTTTACACACCGCCAACAACAACGCTCGTCTTCATTTCGTCTCACGCTTTTTTACCCACAAGAAGACACTTAAGTGACCACAATCAAGCATTCAATTAAGAAATCTAAGTGGTACACATTTTCCTGACCGCCAGCTGTAGAAGTCTAACGCTGCTTGTTGGCGCATCTGGCCGACAGCCAAATGAAACTGACCCATTCGTTGATTCTTTCGCTCGAAGAAAAACAAAAAGAATGCAGGAAAATTCAAAAGAGGCACCGAAGCTTAGCCTTAACATAGGCGAGTGTGCTGCTGGCGGTGCGTGCTCGCAAGTGTAGTTTCTTTTGCATTACATTAAGGCTTATTTGCTTTATTTAACATGCAAAGTCCAGTTTCAATCAAGCAGATGCGAGTAGCTTGCCGCCATGTTTGTTGCAATTACATTACGTTTGTGGCATGCAGCTGCAACTGCTGTGACCGTTGGCTGACTGCCGTACGGTAAATGTTTATGCATGTTTCTAATGGTGGATAATAAAATTATTGTACGTTTAAATTTTCTTTTATTACTTTTTCTATTGCGTGTTTACTAATTTTGGCTTTGGTTGTTATTGTTAGTGTTTCTAATTCTTTTGTTGTTGCACAATTTTTTTTTTTTTTATACTCTCGCAACCTGTTGCTACAGAGTATAATAGTTTTGTTCACCTAACGGTTGTTTGTATCACCTAAAGCTAATCGAGTTAGATATAGGGTTATGTATATATAAATGATCAGGATGAAGAGAGAGGTGAAATCCGGGTGACTGTCTGTCCGTCCGTGCAAGCTATAACTTGAGTAAAAATTGAGATATCTTTATGAAACTTGGTAGACATGTTTCTTGGTACCGTGAGACGGTTGGTATTGCAGATGGGCGTAATCGGACCACTGCCACGCCCACAAAACGCCATTATTCAAAAGCAAATAAGTTGCCATAACTAAGCTCCACAACAAGATACAAGACTCTTATTTGGTATACAGGATCACAATAGGGAGGGGCATCTGCAGTTAAAATTTTTGGGCGCGGTCCCGCCCCTAATAGGTTTAATGTGCATATCTCCTAAACCGCTAATGCAATAATAACAAAATTCACTGGAAGCAAATATTTTTAGAACCTCTACCTACAGTGTGAAATCGGGTGGCAACTCCGCCCCCTCGCCATATAACGGTACTGTTAAAAACTACTAAAAGCGCGATAAATCAAGCACTAAACACGCCAGAGACATTAAATTTTATCTCTGGGATGATATGAGATGACTTTATAGGAACCGCGCTCAAAATTAGACAGTGGGCGTGGCACAGCCCACTTTTAGGTGAAAGCCCCTATCTTGGGATCTGCTTAACCGATTTGAACCGAA